TGGTGGTGTTGTTGAGAGTGGTGGTGGTGGTGGTGGTGGTGATGCTGATGGTGATGAGGGGCAAGCGGGTCAGGGGTGTGTGTTTGTTGGTGGGGATGGGGATGGTGAAGGGGGAGGGAGGGAGTGGTACACTACGAGCCCGTTTCCGTCGTATCATGTGGATGGGGGGTATTACTCCCGCCTGGCCAAGGCGATGCGGTTTCTGTGCCAGTTCAGACAGGCCATGGACGCGCCGGCCGTGGTCACGGATCTGGATGATGAGGCCGCGTTGGAGAGGCTGGAGGATGTGAAGTTGAGGTTGCTCGGGCACTATGTTACGAGGGAGGCTGGCGCGGAAACGGAAGGATGGGAGCTGTCGAGCCCGGAGAAGTGTCTCGAGGTTGCCCTGGGAAAGGAACCGCGGTGGGTGCAGTGGGAGTGGGTTTGTCAATGTCTTAACTGTTAGTTGTGGCGACGGCGTGTTGGTTGGGGTACGGCGCTTGGGAATGGCGTTGGGGTTTAGATTGGCATAGCGATGGCTTCTTGTACCGGCGTCCGGTGGCATTCCTGAATATCAGTACCGGTACTGGTGAATTACCTTACTTTATGTCTTTGGAGTCTGCTGTTCTAGAAGATGTGACGGACGCCAAGAATATTAGACCTTGAATTGTGTGGGAAATGATGGTTCTGCAGCATGGGGGGCTTATTTGCCATCTATCTACTAGCCGTCACTAAAATACTCTCGACCTGTAGTTATGTCTGGTCCCGAAGTATGTTCGGGAGACTCTGCCATCGCTCCCCCTGCCGCTTCCCGTGCTGGCGCCCTCATTGCTGCCATTTCCCTCAACGGTGCTTCCCCTAGCCACGCCTGTTGATTCTTCTGCCTCTGGCCTGACCGTAGTTCCTCCGAGTCCTGGGCACCATGTACCTGATCGGCTCGTCCTCAATGTCCTCTTGGTCGTCCTCGTCGTTGGTGTTCTCGTCACCGCCGCTAGCGCTCTCCTCATCGCCACTGATGCTCTCTACATCGCCACCATTCCCATCCTCGCCGGCATCGCCATCGGCATTCTCACCATCGTCGTTGTCGTTCTCCGTCACACCATTTTCCTCTTGGTCGTCCTGCGCCTCAGTATGGTCGACCATCTCCCCAACGTCCTCATCGTCGCTGCTTTGCTCGTCCTCTCTGTCCTCGGCCTCGCCCAACTCCCGGTCTTGCGCCTCCTTGACTTCCTCGATCATCTTCAGCATCCGCGAGAGCGCAAGCAAAATAGAGCTCGTACGGCCCTGAAATTTCTGTCCAGCCCGTCAGCTTCGTCTTCATTGAGAGGTCAGTAGGAATAGAATCGTACGTGGGCAGCATCCGACATGTCCTTGGCCATATCCCCATCCGTGTAGTGCCGTAGCAACTTGTCCAGCTCTCCATACTTCCACGTCTTCTCGGCGGGGTACGCGGTGACCGGCATGGAGTACTCGTCATATGCTTTTCTGGAGAGGAAGAGGAGGTTCTTGTCGATGTTGCGGGCCGCGTTCGTCAGATCGAGGTAGTCGGGGTCTTCCTCGTCGCTGGCGGGGTGAAGGTCCCGGGTCTCGACGTCCAAGACCGACTCGTCGTGCTCGTCAACGTGGCGCATCTCGACTTGAGCGGAGAAGGCAACTGTCTTGCGGCGCTTCACGGCAGGTTTCTTGCTACCGTTCATGTGTGGCTTTGGGTGATGCGTGCTGCTGCTCGTCTGGAGGGATGATGCGAGGTGTAGGAAAGGGTTGAAGAGGGTGGCCAGGCCTGGGAAGAGTTTATTGCTGAAAGAGGAGGGGCAGGGACCCACGTTCTGAGGAGCCATGGTGAATAGTTGTCCCAGGACGCGTGAGTGGCTGCCTCTGCTAGACTCTCTTAAGGTGATTCCGGAGCTTTCTGTGTGAGTGACCTCATCCGGGGTGGGAGCTTTGGCACCTACACTGGCTCACAATTTCTTACGGGCCAGTGCTGGCATTGATGTGCAGAATGAGACACAACGTAGTTTAACAGCAAGAACGCCTTCGAACAAGCCTTTCTCTTGGTTCTTATGTGAACATGAAACCCCTCTTGGAAATTTTGGTAAAGATGTGTACATTAAAGCCAAGCAGTGGCTTCCCCGGCACTTTGTCTCCTCAGCTGGCTTTGTTCCGTGGCCAACTTAGGGTCCTCGTACGGATTTTCCAGGGCCTTTTTACTACAAACTCGTGAGACTGAGGAAAGCTAAGAGGGTTTTAACGGACTTCATGCAGGCATAGGGGGGTCTCCGGTTATGAAAATTTGATCAAATACACCGTGAAACAAGAGCAGCTGGTTGGTTTTGTATTGTCGGCTTTCAAATAACCGTCAATTTGCAACACAACATGACTACCTAGAGAAGTATATCTGGCGTCTTTCTCTTGATAACATCGGGGCGTGGCTTTCTTTGCTGCTATCGTTACCAGTGTAAGATGATGCCGTGGGTTAACACCAAGCTCAGCTCCATTGCAAGCCGAGGGGGTCTTAACCACTCCTATCCCTTTTTGGATTCCATGTATTTTGCTTGAACTATTATAGGAACTGCTCGATGTATCCTTGAGCGTGTTGGGTCGCATCGGTTTGGATAAGTACAATAGGAGAAAGCACATCTTAGGTCTTAATAGTCTACTCGTTATATGACAATAGAACGGCAATAGAATGTTCGTGTCACGGCACAAAACTTAGAGCTCTCTCAATGGTGAAGTAGACTATCTGAGCGTTATCACGGTGTTGGCCGCTGGCCGGAGCCCATGCATGTCCCGCGCCAGCTACGGGCTCGTCGACCACGCCTAACGCCAGCATCGGGCCCATCAGCTCCCCTTCTCCCCTTTTCGGCGCAACCGGCTTGGCGTCAAAGTCCATTTTGTAGAGTATGGTGACTAGGACGGCGAGCACGATCGAGCAGATACTGGGTAGAGTTAGGGGGTGATGCCTTTCCATAACGCCGGGAAGACGGGTATCTAAATCAGGCCGTTGCCGAGGGCATCAGACGGCGCGAGTACCTTTCCGAGCAGGGCCAGCCCAGCACTGCGACAATCTCAATGATGCCGTGTGTGTTGTTGAGGATGTCCGATAGGTAGCCGAGATATTGCATATGCAGGTCCTGGACCGGTCGAATTCCCTCTCTGAAAGAGTCACTGTCATTTTGTGCATCTGTTAGGGGTGGGTTCAATTGGTTAGTCCCAGTACATTTCGGGGATTGTTCTGATTAGGGGGTTGACATTCCGCTTGGCCGTGTCTAGTACCATGCCGCCCAGCTGCTGATTCCGAATCCTGTACTTAATACTAGATAATAAACATCGCGCAAACCACGGCCGATTGCGAACACCCCAGCACCGAAGAGTGCAAGCCAGGGAGCGTCTTGCGCCCGGGGTCACGGACAAGGGTGCTCGGGACGCTTTTGGGCGGTGCCCGGTGTGATGATGGCCTCAACAGCTCCTTGCATTTGCAACGGCGGTCTCGAGAGCTCCTTCTATCTTCGAAAGTCAAAACACGCACAATCCCATGTGGGGCCACGTTAATATAGTTATATGGATTCTCAAAAGTCCATTCTCTCCTCTTCCTCTTCTTTTCTTCTTTGCCGCGTATCAAGCTCCCATCCGTACGTACCACCCGCTCCGCCTCGCCATGAAGCTCCGACTCGTAGTACGCTGATTTACTGACCTTTGCTCTTTGTTGACATTCTTTAGACCTCTACACCCAGAAGTCTCGCCCGTTCTGGTATGTATATTATTATTATTATTATTATTTCCTACACCGATATGCCCTGGGGCGCGCCGGTCCTTCTACTGCTATTTACAAAGGAAACCGTACCGTATAGGCCGGATAAAAACCTCTGTCTACCACTTTGAGACAACAATCTATGAATCCGTCATACTGCAAAAGAAAGGAGGCCCTTTCCGGGCCTCCGGGCCCTCTAGCCCTCCCCATCCACTGTTTCTAGCTCCAGCCTTCTGGCCAGCCTATACTCCAGTAGCCGGCCAGAGTCCATCAGCCAGCCAAGGACCTTCCTAACAAATCTTCTGCTCCGCGCACCTACTCCCCGTAATACGGTTTGTAGGTCCCGATGTGACCGAATCTCTTTGCCGTCCCACGGCCTTTGTAACGGCGGGTCGGGGCACCAAACCACCAAGTGCTCCACCGTCTCCCTGCCTCTCCCGCACTCGCAATAGGGGGTACGGACCTCCGGGACTTTCACCCTGAACAGGTAGTCCCGGAGGCCTATATCCCCGATACGGGCCTGGGAAAGGAGGGAGCTCTGCGCCTTTGTAAGACCTTCGTGTCTCATCAGAGCTTTGTCGGTAAATAAGAGGGCTGGGGGGTCTTCGTCGGCTATCCTCCTGTTTAATACCCTCTGTCGAGTAGTACTTTGTTGACTAGCTCTCTGTTGTTCCCACCGGGCCTGCCAGGCCAGTTCGACCACCTCCTTGGTATTCGACCCCCTATCCTTCCCCCCGATCTTCCATTTGTAGTTAACCCACTGGGCCACTACACTAGCGGCTAGTTCAGTGGGCGTGGGACTCTGCGGGCCCTGACGGGGCCTCCGGCCTCGGGTTTTCCTCCTCTTGTTGAACCTTCGGTAGACCTTATTGCAGGCCTCAGTGATTAGATGCCCCGTGGTTATTCTCTCAGCCTCCGACCCAGCCCCTGATTGTAGGGCCTGCTTCTGTAGCCGGCCCTCGAAGTCAGCCAGCCGCTTGTTGAGATATAAGTCTAGCGGTGGCACCCAGGCCTCTGTTTCTAGGCACCGAATAGGAGCTGACTTGTATGCCCCTACATTCTGGTATGTATACCATCCGTTATGATCGGTATTTAACTATTTGCTAATGAGAAACAGTCACACAACAAAAAGTGCGCTGAGTGTTCCTTGGTGATTGCCTGTCGTTGCTGTGCTAACTGGAGTCTTGTAGTGAATCGACAGCTTACCTCGCCGTTTGCCTCCCTGCCCCCACTCACGCCCCGGGCTGCGGCGGCTGCTGCCGCCAGCTTCGCTCGCGTCCTCGTCAGCAGCAATGCCGCGCCTGGCGCCGACAAAGCAGCCGTAAGTACACGTTAATTCGATGTGTTCATAGACTAATGCTCGAGGTACCTAGCAAAGAAGGGCACGAAAGGCGACCCAGCGGGCCCGCAAGAAGGCTGCTCGGGCTGCGGCCCAGTCCGCGGCGTCCTCCCCGCCGCCCACCACCACCGGCCCTCCAACCACCGCCGGCCTGCCCACCACCGCCGATGCCGGCCCGGCGCTGGCCACGCCTTTCGCGCCTGCGGTTGCCGCCCTCGCCCCCGCCACCATCTCCCCCGCTCCTGCCCCGTCCCCGCCCTCCCCGGAGGGACATGTAAGTTCACTTCATTCCAACGAGTCTGTACCATACTACTACGGTTGAAGAGAATGATCGAAGCTTGGTGGGAAGAGGAAGGGGGGGTTTAGTTTGCCTTTTTCTCTTTTCTTTTTCTTTTCTTTTGCTAATAATGAAACCACTTGTTGGTCCCCACCGTGATGATGACTGTTCACATTTTGTCGACACAGCAACTTCCAGATTGTACGCGAGCACGCTCCCGAGGTACGAATTCTCGACGAGTATCGTGACACGCTGGAGGCCTTGCCAATGGAGCCGCTGTTGCAGTATTCCAAACAACTTACGAAGCAGAACGCTTGGGCCCTTTCACGACCTGGAAAAGTAGTTAGAAACAGCGTACGGTAAGAAGCAATCTAGACAACCATTGCCATATTTGCATCTTGGAAGCGACGTGAAGCATCGCGCGAACTTGATCAAGTTAGATCAGCAATGAAGCTACCCCAGGTGCAGTATTGACAACAAGAATCCTACATGTATTAACAGCATCGTCGTCATCTGGGTGGCCAAAATGGTCTCCTCATTTAATTACCCTGCAACGTATCGGCACTCATAGCTGGGTAACATTCCATCCCGGCTGGTATTTCACTCAAATAACAGGCGCTAGACATCTCAGACCCAGGAAATCGATGATTGATGCGAGATTTGCCACTTAAGTCACTTTGGGGTTACACTTGTATCCCGGGAAGTGATATGGAGGCAGCATAAGTTCCATGCCTCGGTAGGTACCACATCACCACGCCGCAACGGTGCATTGTCTTGCTTCATGTACACACTTGGCTTGGCTCCGTTGCCGACCACATGTGAGCTGAGAGCAAGGTTACGGTTGCTTGACTATCACAGTGGTTGTGATGTAGTTGTAAGTGGTCGCCGTGCCAAGAGTTGATGGCCTACCCAGACCCAAAGCACAGGTTGCTCCAGGTTTGTATATCGGCGAGCCATCGTAGAAAGTCAAGGTCCGAGAGTAGAATAAAGCTTGGGAATTACGAAACCAGAAAAATAACCAAAGACACCCAACCCGACCTTTTCCATCCAACCTCTAGTAGTCCGTTTTGGAGCTCTCCCCCGTCTTCAACACAACCACCACACCAACAACAACACAACAGAGAAAGGAGAAGCAGCACTGCTCAACAAAACCCCATCACCACTCACCACTCACTCACCACCCCCCTCAGCATCGCCTCCACTCCAGATCCCACTCCTCGGTGTCCGCCACAAACTGCGCCTTGCCGTCGCCCGTCAGCGCGCCGCGGAAGTTGATGTTCATGATGCCCGTGTAGCCGTCGTTGCCAGTGCAGGGCGACCACACGCGGCTGGCGTCGGCCTTGGCCACGAGCGTGACGCCCTCGTTGACGGTGCCGTCGCCGTTGTTGGAGACGGTGCCCGAGATGGTGTCCTGTTTGGAGAGGAGGGGAGGGGTTAGTGGATTGATTGATGGGGGTGGTGGTGGAGTTGGAGAGGGGTGGTGGAGTTGGAGAGGGGGGGTGGGGTGGGGCTGAACACTTACCGAGCGCGCGGCGTCCTGGCTGAAGAAGACGGTGGTGTAGTGGGTCAGGGAGGTGCCTGGGGTGAGCAGCACGCGGCCCTTGACGACGTTGGTCTTGAGGGAGACCTGCCACCCGGGGCTGGCGCCGCTGGCCTGGAGGTGCGCTTGGCAGTTGAGCGTCTGCGAGGAGCCCGGGAGCGAGGCGGCGAAGCTGCTGAAGGTCACGGTCGGGTCGTTGAAGCCGCCCGAGAACTTGGGATCCCGGGCGCACCCGTTCCCGGAGAAGGTGATGCTGGTGATCTTGGGTGTTGCGGGGGCGGCGGTGTCTGCCAGGGCGGCCGACGCCGCTGTCAGGAGGAGGATGTTGGAGAGGATGCCCATTGTGGCGGCTGGTTTGGTGTTGTTGAACTGTGGTTTTGGGGGAGAAAAGACGTAAGGTCGTGGAGTGCCAAGGTTCAAGCTTGTAAGACCGTCTGGCTTAGAAGTTGTGTGGATGCTGGAGCTATCTATCATGACAAACACCATCTCTGGCGGGTTGTCAGCCCTTCTTTATATCTCCAACTCCCTCGGCCTGGGCCTCGGGGGCGAGGGTGATGATCCAGATGGATTGCGATGAGTTCATTCTCGCCGCCACCCATGCCACCGGGCGGTTTCTTAGGTTGTCGAGAAGTCTGGGTGCGGAGCTTTCCAATTTACCCAGATTGCAGCCCGTGAATCCGGGTGCCAGGATTGGCAAGAACCAAACTCTAAATTAAGATCCAAAAATAGGACCCAAAAACCTCTGGCCTTTTCATGCCAAGACGACCTGGGGATTGGGCCGAATGGTTTGGTACGGGGCGAGAACACGGAACACTGACCGGGAGTGGAACATGTCAACCTGGGAATACCAGGGACGCCGAGGTGCCTCAATCTCGGTCGATATTGTGGAAGCACGCCCACAACGCCCCGGTCACACCACACGTTGCTCCGTGCTCCTCTACCCCGTTAGCCCACCGTCCCCTGGGGTAGTGCCGTACCTGGCTCTCGCCCCCTGGAGGCCACGGATGATGGGCTAGGCTGCATCATGGGGTGAACCAGTGAACCAGTGAACCACCAACGCCACGTTGCGACACATGCACTGGAAAAACAACTGCGGAGCTCATTTCCGCATTCTTATTGTCTGGATGCGACGTCATGTTTATGTCTGGCCTTTCCGCTGAGCTTTCAGTCCCGGTACAGCCGTCGAGGGTTCCCGCTTTCAGATCGACCCAGCAGTTGATTCGCCCTGGGTGCTCTAAGCTTAAACATCCTCCAGGTAACGGCCGGCCCTTACGCGGGCAATGTCTCTTCAACCGTCTGGATGCATCGTGCTAGATAGTTCCCCTAGCTGCAGCGTGTGATTGCATGCGACAAGTTGATAACATGTCGATATTCGTGTTCCTATTTATGGCAGCACAATATCTTTGCAGTGCGAGAGTCGGGAGCCAGATGCCTGCCGATGATACATGGTTGCGTGCTGAGCATGTTGCCGCAGCCGGGCGCTTAGTTACTGGTGTCTTGACGGTTGGTCTCATCAAATGGTTGTGATTGAATCCCGCGGTAGTGAAAGCAGGCATCAGGAGCCATCTGCTGCGATCACGGTTACTCGGCCATCCTCGCATAACATGCATCATCAATTCTTCAAGAAGATCTGCTGAAGTGTGCACCACGTTTATGCATGATCGGCCGAGGAATCGAAGGATTGACGGCAGCGGCACCCGGTTGGTTGTGAGGAGCAGTTGTTGTCATTGGGGGCTAGAACTTTGATCCCTTCCACCGAATCACCTCGGGCGGGATCCAACAGGATGTTCTGGAGTCGGCGTCTTGTGTGGAATATCATGCTGTGTGGTTGGTGCCGCAGTGTCGGTCCCGGGTGGCACCCAGTTGAAAGCCAACCGACCATCCGGGGAGAGTCTTCGCTATTCGGGCTTGGTGCCGCCGTTGGCCCCTGCCAAGTCCCCGGAGGAGCTATTGTCCCTGTCTCCAACGGCTTTGGCGGCAACTGTCGGGCTCCGCGACTCAAACAGGGTGCCTTCTTCTAACCGCTGATGATAAGTGCCGTCAACGCAAATATTCGGCTCATCGAAGATGTAGAGCCAGTAGTAGAAGCCACCGCAGAAGCCTGCACCTCCCAGAATGTTGCCGAGGGCGGTTGGTATGATTCCTACCAGACATTCAGTGAGTAATCACTGCCAGGGACATCACACAGAGGCGGTATTCTAGGACGTACCTTTCCAGATGTACAGACCCACGGTTAGTTCCGGCGCCCCCAGAAACAAACCGATGGGGATGAAGAACATGTTTGCCACGACGTGCTCCAGCCCCAGAGCGACGAAGGCGAAAACCGGCCACCACATGCCAACCACCTTGGAAGTCAGGTCCTTAGCCTGTAGACCGAGGTAGAGTGACAGGCACACCAGCCAGTTGCAGCCAATAGCGCGGAGGAAGATCTGGTGGAAATGCAGGTCGACCTGCTTCTGCTTCGCATTGGAGATCGCTTGGTCCCGGTAGGGGCTGCGGTCAAAGACGCCACCGTCTGTGTTATGTGTCAGGGTTGCAGCGCTAATCAGCTCCGGCAGAAGCTGGACTTACAACCAAGAATGACGGCCATGACGAAGAGGACGCCGGCCAAGTTTCCCCAGAAGCAGAGACACCAGTGCAATAACATCTTCCGGATCGGCAGGCGTCGGTGGTAGACCGCCACGGCAGTGATCTGATTTGATTAGTCGAAGGTGAGCTGTAAGGCAAACCAGAAGTCCCTACCATGTTTGTGCCGGTAAATAATTCACCTCCTGACAGCCTGAACTTTCCACATGAGTTGAACCGTTCATTCTACCGGTACTGCGTTGTGTAGGTACCCACATGATCATGACAATACCAGCCGGGAACACCAGCGCACCGATGAGTCTAACAAGGCCGGGCGTGTTTTCTTGAAGCCACGGTGACGTGGTAGCTATTAGGGATGCCGCGGACGCAAAGCAGAGGAGACATCCAGATGAGACAGCCGAGAGAAAGATCTTGTCAGGTCGCATCCTCCCCCTTCTTGCTCCCATGCGGGAAACAATCTCTATGGTTTCTGTGGGCGTGTACGAGGCCAAGTTGGCCACATGGACGGTTTGCACAGCCATGGCTAGCTCGGGTGATTTGATCGGTCAAGGATGATATTCAATTCGGTGACTGCAAGTCTCAAGGCGGGAAGAAAAAGTTCCGCTCTCAAGGGCGCCATCGTGATGGATCGGTCTGTGGAGTTTTGAATCCATGTTTGCTTGGCGAAGTGGAAGCCATGTTGCGATTCGGACCGAGAAAAGATAGATTCGGGTTGTTAAGGTTGGTTTCGTAATTGATGAACAGAATTCAAGTGGCGTGTGAGGTGATGAGAACGAGAAGCGTTGTTATCAACGGACTTCGCTGCGGGCACCGAGGAAACTATGGCCGAGAGAAGAGATCTGTCACTGCCAGGTAGGCAGGCTTGTTTTTGCATTTCGGGGCCATGTGTAAGTAAGTAGGGTTAGGGTTCATATGGTGTCAGAGGACAACCCTCAACCCCCTGGCCATACTGATCCTCTACTTGAACACCTTCAACATCGAAAAGCCCATGACCAAGATGGTATCATGCGTATCCATGTCCCATTACTGTTTTCGTAACCCGCCCCGCCCCCCAAGCGCCAACAACAACAGTGGTAAAGACTGTAACAGTGTAGTAACCCCTTTGCCAGACCAGAACATCATCACCCCGGGTATCAGGCAGAAAAGAGCAAGGTCATGACCCAAACATGAAACAAAACAAGAACACAGCCTGCCCAAACTCCCCGGTATATGCACAGCCCTAACGCCCCTTCCCACCGCCCCCCTAGTCCAGTACAGTTTCCAGGTTTATCAGCCCCTCACCTCCCTCATCTCCCCCCCTCCACCACTCCTCCTCCCCCCAACCCCAACCCCACCCCCGACACAGCACCACCCGCCCCCGCCCCCGCTCCCGCTCCCGCTCCCGGCTGAGGCGGCGGAGAAAGACCCGACCCCAACCCCGACCCCAACCCCGACCCCGACCCAGATCCAGAACTCGGACTCAACGACGACGCCGGACTGCGCGACCAGCTCTCTCGCTGGCTGGCCACCGTCCGCGCCACGCGTATATCCAGCCGGAGATGTGCGCGTGGCGGTGCGCGTAATGGTCGGGTTTCGGTCTCGTTGGGTATCCCGCCGCTGGGGCTGTGGTTCGCGCTGCTGATGTTGTTGTTATTGTGGTTGTTATTGGTGGTGTTGGTGTTGGTGTTGGTGCAGTCAGCTGTGGAGGAGAGGCTGCAGGTGCGTTGGGCCTCGAGGTCGAGGTCGTGGTCGAGGTCGTATTCGGTGGGGACCGGTGTTGTGGCGGAGAGGGTGAGGTCGGGCCGGCTGGGCTTCATGGTGGTGAAGCTGTGGTAGTAGTGGGATTTTTCGATCGTGTCGTGGTCGAGGTGGTTGTGGTGGCGGTGGACGGGGGACGGTTCTGAGTAGGGGTGAGGGGGCGGGAGGGTGTTGCCGCTGTTGCTGTTGCTGTCGATTGGGGTGCTGTCGACCGGGCTGCAGCTGCAGCAGTGTTGTTGGGTATGCGGAGGTGCGTTGCTCATGCGTCGGGCGAGCGGGTTGATTGGGGTGGGAGTGGAGTTGCGGTGGCTGGTTTCGTGGATGCTGTCGTTGTTGACGGGCGTGATCCATTGCAGGGTCGGCTCGCGGACGCCTTTTGCTTGGGGAGAGGAGGCGGGGGAAGACGCGTTGGATGAGGGGTTTAAGGGTCATGATGCAGGCGCAGACGATGGCCGCGTTGACTTTGACAGCCGTCCAGTAGATCATGTTGGCGCTGGAGTAGAACCCGTCCCACGACGGATGCTGCGTGATGTTGATGAGAGCGACGAGGCGGACAATGGAGATAATGCAGACGCTGGGTAGATATTAGTGGCGGTAGGCCAGAAAGAAGGGGGGCTGAAACTGACAAAAAGCCGAGGGCGAAAACACCAACGATGGCGTACTTTTGTCTTGAGGGGAGATTTAATGACGACAAAACCGGCATCTATCAGGGTCAGTCGGATTCCATATCCGCGTAACCAAGTTCAAGACTGGGAAATGCATACCGGTAGTGCCATGACGACGAGGTCACTGCTGATATGGAGGCCGGCATTTGCCCACCACAAGTTGCCTGGCTGGCAGTATACCGGCCCCTTGAAGAACAGAGACCAATCCCAGAAGGCCTCTAGCGGCATGCAGGCGGTGCAGACGGAGACGATGAACCAGATTCCAATGGCGCTAACGAGGATCAACACAACCTGGATGGCTCGCTTGATCCAGCAGTAAGTAAAGATGCGTTTGTAAAGTAGGAGGATCGATATCCTGCTGAGCGTGAGACTGAGGTTGTAAAATAGCATGCCGTACCAGGCCGCCTGCGGTTCCTCGTCAGTCCCTCTAACAATTGGTAACGGGCAGAGGGGTGGCTTACTCGTTCAAAGGCTGGGAATGCGAATGGGTCGACTTCCCAGACATGCTTCCCCGCGCCACGAGCCATTTCTAAGGTCTAGTCAGATTTTGAACCCAGCCAACGTTCAGTCTGCACGTACGCTCAAGTGCGCTCGCTGTCACGCCGGCCGCGCAAAGCTAACAAGACGGTCAGTTCAGAGTCCAGAGAGGAGGAAAAGAATGCCTTACCAGCGCCGGCAAGATGCACCAGTCCGAAGCCCCGAGAACATGGTTGACCCAGCCCCTGGTGTAAAACCGAAGGCCGACAAAAATCGTAGAAATCAGGAACGTGATCACAGAGCAGGCGATGATATCTGGCTGGAGAGACCTCCCGGCATCTGGCGGAATGGGCCATGGTGGAAACGTCGAGTTCGGCGGCGGATACGTCTCGTTGCCCGAGAAGGTCGAGTTCGGGCCGGCCCCGGTTGTGTCCCACACCATTTTGGCCGACTCTCCCTCACCCTGGGGGAGGAGGCGAGAACGGCGCTGGCAACCAGTCCTTTGCGCCTGGTGGGGGAGACGAGTGTTCTAAGTTGTGGACCTTTCCTCGAGGGAAGAGGCCAAGCTGAGCCCCAGAACCCGGAGACGAAGGCGGGCCAGGAATGGCACCAACATACATATACCGGCCGTTCCCCGCAGTTCCTGTCAACAGGAGCGCTTCATCTCCCGGTAGCGCGAGCGGGTCCAATAAACAGTTGATCGGCGCTGGTGACGGCGTTCCCCCGTCGCGTTGCAACCCGGGAAGTCTGGGGGAGGAAACATCAGCTTCCTTGTCGTTAATGGGTTGCGTGACATGTGGAAACACGGCCGTTTGCACCAGCGCTGTCTCTGCGTCTGTTTGGTGTGACACGAGAGACAGTCTGAGGTGGTGAAAAGGGAGCCAACGGCCCTGCTGCCCCCCCTGGTTGAGCACGAGCGGCCAATTTCCCGAACCGCAGCTCGAGCTCGGAGCTTTGGTTCAAGGCTGTGAAATGCGGGGAAGCGGAAATGGCTGGGTGCGTCTTCAAGGTTTTTCTGTCATGGCCTGTCTCTCGTCCAGATTGGCCCGGGAGTCAACCAAAGTTTGGTTCTGTTATACCAAGAGTTCTGTCATTAATGCTTGGGCAACACTGGACCGGGTCTACCAGGTCTTGAAGTCACATAGCTTGGGGTAAAAGCCAAGCCGTTTAAACCGTTAAGTTCTTCAGCAGCCGGATAATAAGAGAAAAATCCCATGCTTTGTTTCATCAAGAAGCTTGCCGCTGTTCAAGGCTTGCAAATTCGTGGGGAGATCGATCTGCTGTGTTCCCTGGTTTCCACGCTCGGAGGCCGGCAAAAAGGACAAGGAAGCACCAAAGCAACACTGACCCGGGGTTCCGGAGGCGAGTGCAACACAAGATGAGACTGGCCAGAAGTGGTGGACGCTAAGCTGGAACGGGCACCGGCCCCCTTCCGACCGCCTCTCTTGGGATTGGAGAAGTCTCGAATTCTGCCGGCTGCACAGACTTGGCAATCTGAATTGATTGACGACAGGGGGACCCGCGTCATCTCCAAAGTGCCGCGGCACTTGCGCCTTTGTGAGACCGCTGGCTACCTTTCTCTATATCAATCATGGTGATCCGACTCCGAGAATGACGAGGGAATTTTGGCTTCTTGATTCCAAGGTGTGTTGCTGGAAAATGCAGGCTGGAGACACCGGGTACGGTGGCAGTGTCACAACACAACGCAGGCCCGCCTCGGCCAGGATCCCGGTCCTATATCTGACCCCGACCGCCTTGGGTTTGCTCTCTTCCGTGGAGAAATGGCACCCAGCAGGAACGATCCCTCGTCGCACGAAGCCACAAGAAGGCAAGTTCCGACCAGAACCCATCTGACTAACTCAACAGGTGCGTGTTTCCCAGCGGGAGGCCGATTTGAGTTCCAATGACAAGCTCGACAGGCCAGTTTGGGGTGGGCGGACTCGCCGGGGCTCCACACCGGTGGAAGAAAAGGGGAAATGGCAGTTTGAATGCAGAGGATCTGAACATTTGGGTGAAGTATGTACTCGAAAAGGAGGCGCGCATCATCTGCACGGTTTCCCGAAAAGGAAAGGTGGAATATGTACAATGAATTTTGGATCGGGGCCGCATGAAAATGTCGTCCATGCCCCCCAACTTTGTCTTTATCGCTGGCATCCCGATGACGAGGGTTGGATTCTTTGGCTCTCGGCTGCCCTGGTTAGGTTCACTGTCAGGGCCTCCAGCCCCTATCCGTTACCCTTTACAACCCCTTAGGGAGCGTACTTCTTCAGGATGGAGTTGTAGTTGGTGTACCCGGTGCCCGAAGGAGGCTCTGATGAACGCGTTAGCAATTGTCCCCATGGGATGACTGCCCCCGGGTCGGATGTCTCGACTCTCGCAGGATCACCGAAGGGTTCAAGTATGATCGAGTCCCCCACGGGTCCAGGAGGCCAGAGCCCCCGATGGATGGGCTGGGAAAGGGGTAAATAAGCAGAAGAGAAATACTAACCAAACGAGTACATGTAGTCGCCCCACCAGGGACCACCCGCCCACCAGAGAGCGCCCTGCCAGACGTCGCTGTTGGCCTTGAGGTGCTCGAGGAGGTTGGTGACAGCGGTCTGGCAGACGGTGTTGGGGCCACCGGCGTACTCGCCGATGATGCCGATCTTGCCGTTGGCGCGCAGCCAGTTGGTGGCGCCGACAACGCGCTGCACACCGATCTCGGCGCTGACGCAGTCCGGGCTGGTGCCGGAGCTGTCCGTGTCCAGGTACTGATGCATCTCGTACACGAGCTTGCCCTGCGGGTCCGTGAGCGCCACCATGTTGGTGTTGGTCGTGTTCCAGCTCCAGGCGCCGGACCATGCGTTGCCCTCGACGAAGATGTGCTGCGTGGCCCCCGCCGCGCGGATGCCGTTGATGGCCGCCTGGTTGAGGTTCAGCACCAGAGTCTGGTCCATGGTGTTGTACTCGTTGTTGGTGTCGAAGACGACGCGCGAGTTGGACACGAACTTGGTGGCGAGGTTGGTCCAGAAGGTCTTGAAGGCGTTGGTGTCGGTGATGATGTCGCCGTAGTACCGGCCGTAGTTGTGCGGGTCCAGCACCGCGTACGCGCCGGCGTTGGTGATGAAGTCGACCGTCTCCGTCAGGTTGCGGAGGTAGCCGGCGTCGAAAGTGGTTGACGTCAGCTGGTCGGGCACCAGGCGCTCCATGGAGAAGGCCACACGGAAGGTGTTGTATCCGTCATTGATGAGCGTCTAGGAGATGTCAGCCAGCTCACTTTAATCCCTTTCCTCCCTGGCCTAACTTGTCATACCTGAATAGACGAAGTTGACGGGAAAGTAAAGTGCTTGCCCCAGATGCCGGGGTACGTGGGGGTGCCGAACTCAGCGCAGGACTGGTTGATACCGAACCACTTGAACTTGCCCTTGGCCGGCGAAGTGCTGGTAGCAGCAGGCGCCGAGCTGGTCGTGGTCGAAGTCCTCAATGTCGTCGAAGCACCGCCAGGCAAGCACTGGCTGTACCAGTCGTTTTGATAAGCGCAGTGGTAGCCCGACACGCAGGTCGTCGCTCCCTGCCATCCGTTACCACCACACTGTCCCCAAGCACCACTCTGGGCAACGGCGCCGGTGGCGAAGACGCCGGCGAGAATCGAAGACTTCATCTTGTTTGTTGGCTCGAGTGGACGATCGACTCTGGTTGAGGAAAGACCAAATAGTCGGAGTCACTCGGCATCGTCTCGCCTTTTATACTTGTCGAGTCCGGATATGTGGTGCCGTCGGGAGGCGCTGCGAGAGCCCCCCGCGGCGCCAGGCTCCTGGTCATGAACTCTGAGATTCAGGGGTTTTGCCGTCCAAGCATCCCCAATTCCGGGTAAGCCTGCGAGTTTTGTGGAGCAAGGTCGCATTACAAACGCTTGATCGTGAGCGAGACCGGCATCCCGACGCCATTGTTCAGACCACAGCGTGGAGTTGGGGGTGCCGAGCTTCCCAGATCGGCCAAGAAAACAGCGGCGGCGATCAAGCCGGGATTCCAGAAGGGTCCTGAGCCCGAGACCGCCGGGCCGCGAGACGAAAACAGTTGCGCTGCAAGTGGGATCCAGTGGAAACCGCGCGTGAATGAGCTGGTTTAGCTGCGCGCCCTGCCCGAGGAGCCGACATCACAGCGCGCGACGAGCTGGCTCGGCGGTCCGAGCCTCGAGGCGGGGGAAACTGGGGCAACCTAGCCCCGGATGGAGATGCTCCGAAGCACAACATTCAGAGCCGCCGTTCGCCAAGACAAGCAAGCGCCCCTCGATGAGGTGTTGAGCCATCCGACTTAGACGGAGATAACACGCTTAGCGGCCCGACGATGGGCGTCTCGGTTTTCTACCGCGGAGAATCCCGTAGTTCTTGCGCCCCGTTCAGCGCCCACAGAGTGCCGCTTAGCCGAGGTGGAAGTCGAGAAGGGGGAGGAGTGACGCGGTTAGATATCGTCGGCTTTCTATCCAAGGCCATATAAAAAGATGAGGAAAGCCTTATCGAAGACGGACAAGTTCCTGACAGCGTCAGAATGAGGTTCAAGTCGTCCACTCCCAAGTCAGGCCTTGGGAAGGTGGTGGGCCGTCACAAAGGCTCACGGGACAATGCTCGAAAAGAAGTCGAGGCTCCATGCATTAAACCCGGAGAATTGGGGGGAACTGCTCTCGGGGCTCCCTCGTTGCGGAGGTCGGTCGACAGCGCATTAGCTGTTTCTCTGTTTTAGAATGATCTTGATGTCCGTCTGCTGGGAAACTGGGGAAATCATGGATAATGAAACCGCCCTTGGCAGCTGCCTGTCCAGATGTTGATCGGAGACATCGGCGCCCAAACAGAAGGGACAATCGAGCCCCAAACTGGCCGAGCAATAGAAGATGCCAACTGCGTTTACTTATTCTCACGGCCACTGCAATTGTGAATCTGGAGGTTCAAGTCCAGAAACGGTAATGATGTGCGGCGAAAGCTTGTCCCGATTAACGACGGCATTGATGCTACGCTCCGAGTTTTGCGTGGTGAGAAAACGAAGCAGGGGGGAAGGTGCTCGAACAGAGCTGCGGCATAACGAAGGAGTGTTGGATACGAGCGTCATCTCATGTGATCATAGATGGGACGATAGAAAAGCGGAAAGCCGATCTCGATTCAAACTCACATTTTCGAGATCTCGGATCGGACCTTGGCGCTTCTGAACCTGAATCAGCTCTGGGATCATTTCGACGTAGCTGTCGACGCAGGTCAGGTGACGGACAACGAAGAACCCGCGAGAAAATTCCTTTACAGTGCGAAATTCTCCCAATCGAAGGCGCTGGGGTGATGGCGGAGCTTCTGCCGGGGATCGTGAGTGGAAAGAGAGAGGATGGGAGACTCGAGAGAGGGGAGCTGAAATTGCCACTGTGGGAACACCGCCCACAGATTGAGGTCGACAGCTGCAGTGGCCAATCAGACAGCTCGGGGCAAGCTCCCAGGCGTTGCGAGTGCAGGGAGTGATGGGTACCCGTCGTGTCGCCACGCCAGGTACCGTCTCTGCCATGCTTTTCAGCGGGCTGTGCAAAGATGGAAAATTACGTTTTTCCTAGATTTGCAGAGATCCAACCTGCCAACTTCAGCCAACGTGCCAAAGTGCCAGCATAAAAAGGCGACATGTTTCCTTAGCGTGACGGTGGCCATGGTGTTCCGGTTGCTCGTCTCCGATCGCTGCTCTGCAGTCGTTGCTGCGTCATCGGGCCAGGATCGCACCACTTGGCGGGATACTGCCCACCTCTCACGTCACGGGATCGCTGTGGTCGTCTGAACTGCGGAAGCAACAAGAAAAGACACGACACGCCCACGAAACCCACGAAGCCCACGAAACCTAAACCACATTCTTCAATCCAATCTCTCCATCAACTTCAAGGCGCGGTGAACATGGCCGCAGGCATGACACAAGCTCCCTTTCCACCGAATCAAGAAGGTCCTGTTTTGGATGAGCAGGTGAGTTCTTGGCCCCGATTTAGCATACCTTCTGTACCTTACCCCCGCTGTACCTGCCCTGTCCGTGCTGGGTGAGGTACCCTGCGGCATGCACACATCCCGATCGACTCGGACAGAAGCGCCATACAAAGAGAACGAGAACAACAAACAATTCCTAACTTGTTGTCTTTTGTTGCAGGGCTCTATAGATCCCGACCCAGTACACCATCTTGGTTGGCAATACCCACCAGGCACCAGCAACCCCAATGCGCCCACTGCCTCCAATGCGCCCGCCAATGTGCTTTGGCAAGAGGGGGCCCCATTAACCTCCGGCGTCGAGCCCTCACTGGATTTTGCTTCCCTGCCATATCTCCCAGAGTATGGGAATGGCACCGGCGATATTATCTGGGATTTTTCGTTGGGCGCCTCAAATGCTGGTTACGGGACAGTTTGGCCAACGTCCCCAACGGAGGCCTTCGTGCACAACCCCTGGGACCTAGCCAACCAAGCATTCCCATCTCCGGCGTCAGAAGCGCCATCATTTAACTTCGCCCTGAACCCTTCCGGAATGGACGGGCCAGCGGGCTATCAATTCACATCAACCCAAAGCAGAACGGACTCGCCCACCACGGCGATGAACCTGATCCTGCCTACCCCGCTCCCCCAACCAGCGGACAGCTCCCCCAAAAACCCCCACCCCGCACCGAAACGGCCGGCCGAATCCCCTGCACGCCCTTCCCGGCCGCGCACCCTCAAGCGGCACCGATCCGACACACCCTCCATCGCGTCTATCGCGTCCATCTCCACGCCCGGCAGCGCCTCCACCGTGGGGTCGGCGACCACGACGCTGGGCGGGGTGCTCCCCGCCAACGTGGACCCGCGCGTGGCGTCGGAGCAGATCCGGCGCGAGGCGTGGGAGCGGTGCAAGGCCGAGGCGAACGAGATGTTGCAGCGGCGCATGATGCTGATGGACCACGAGCACGGCGCCCTCGAGCGTGAGACCCAGCGGTTGCAGGTCAACCTGAGCCTGATGCGCGAGGCCGCGAGGCGCGAGCAGGCCGAAGAGGAAGAGCAGGTGGCCAAGGCGGGGAGGGCCGAGAGGTGGATCGATGGGGAGTGATGGGGCGCGATGCGGGGGTCATGTTTTTCCTTGTCACGACGGGATGATCTGGCTGGGTGGGCATTGGGTATTGGGGACTACACGGGTGATTATTGACTCATAATACGGGTACCAGGCCTCACAACTTAATAACCACGACGGACAGGTCCGTTCTCTCATACGGAGTTGGGGACGGTTCAGTTCAGTTGTTAGTAGCCTAGGTGGCTTCTGGCGTTCAAACTAGCGAGGATCAGATTGACTACACTTTTGAATATTTTGCACTTCTTGAAGCACCATCTCCTGCCCGATCACCACCTTGGTGGTGTTGTGCGCTCGCACTCCTCTCTGGAAACCCACGAGATACTGGATTCGGACCATCCCTGGGTAGCTCCCCAGCTGAACCCTGGTTGTCTTACCCCGCAGGTGCGCACCGGACCGCTCATGCAACTAACCTCACATATCACATCTGTAATCGAATTATTTGCTTCCGCAGTGACACGTGGTGGCCGACAACAGAAGTACAGTACTTGTGCGGAGTGGCGAGCATGTCCCCCCAGCATGTTCTCCCACAAGCTCCGATTCCTGCGTCCCAGCTGACCGGAAGCGAGCACACCCGGCGCACTCGTCGCCAATCGCAGCAGACCTTCAGCGCCCTTCGTCCCGACAGGTTGGAGCTGAAAGCCACTCCCGTATCAGCAGCGCCTCGGTGCCACGTGGCAATACATTCCTCCCCATGTCCGGACTCCGCCGTCGAGGGGGTCTAGACTTGAGGATGGGGGTCCTTTCTGAGCACAGTGTTTGCACTCTTGCAGAATTGGGCTCCAATAGTGGTTTTATTGATGGCAAGCTGTAATTGATGGAGTCGCACGGCTGAGGATACCGCAGCTCGGATCACACCCACGACCCCAGACTACGACACAGTCCGTATCATCAATTTAGTTACTAACAATAGCGCAAGATAGGATGATTAATCATTTGCCGGAAGCACAGCGGTCAAGACAGAGGGCAGCACAGGAGTGGTAACACACCCCTTTTCAGTGATGCAGCAACTGTTAGTTAGGACATGGGAGAAGATGAGATGCTAGAGCTAATTCACTGATATCACACTATCCTAAAGCAACGTTCGAATCAAGAACCCCAATTAGTTATACATAATCTACGCGGACCTTTTCTGATCAGCCTGACCCCGAGTCGCCACGGACCCGTCCGTCTTAGCGCCAGTAGCGTCACCGCCCGCCTTCGCAACCGGTTTCTTGAGACCAATAGAAAAGAAAACCGGTTCCTGAGCGGCATTAGCAGCAAAAAACGCATTCAGAAAAGCCGGCGTAGCATGCGTCATGTCCTCCCTCTCCTTCCTCGCAATATAGTCCGCCAAAAAGATAATATCCGCATTCGCCTGCTTCTTCCTCCAGTTATTATTCCCCGCCGCATGCTCCTCCATCCACTCATACATGGCAATATTCAGCAAAAGCGTCGGCTTCAAGACGCGGGCGCTAGAAAACACAATCACGAACCCGTCGTCCGTGTCGGGGAACGCCTGGCGCAGCTCGGGCGGCTCGTGGATGTGCACGGCGCACTGGACGCCGTTCCGGTCGAGCTTGATGGAGCGCGTCATGCTGCCCATCTTCTTGAAGAAGCCGCAGCTGGACGTCGCCATCTGCTCGTGCACCCGCGCCGTGTGGCCCGTCGGCACGAAGACGTGGTAGTCGGAACAGAGCCGCTTGGAGCCGAGCAGCTGCAACGCGAAGCCGCCGATCAGCGCGTAAGGCGTGCCCCGCAGCGTGCTCGCGAAGAGGCGGGCATCGGCTTGTCGCCATTTTAGCAGCGTGGCCTCGGAGGGGGGTTTGGCTTTGGCGGCGGTGGTGGTGCTCGTCGTGGTGGTGGTGTTGGTTTGCTTCTGCACCGGCTGGGAGGAATTGGCGGCGGCGGCGGCGCCTCCGCCTGCCTTTGCCGTTGGTGCATTTCTCTGTGTGCGGTTATTCATATTTGCTGAATGTTGCGTAACCAGTTCACTCTGAAAGGATCGTTGAAACTCGGCACGATGCAGGATGGAATCGATCGTTAGATAAACCGATAGGTTTTATGCTTTAGGTACATGTCGGTACTTGAAGAAGGATTGAAGAACAAGTAGTTCTCCGAATTAGTTACATGGCAAGCAACGAGGAATTAAACTACTTCGTGAGTCTTTCTAGCTGGCTAGGCATCACGGCCTCGGCTCGCGGCCGAGGCCAAATCTCGCCAATTCCATGTCTCGCGAGGTCTCTTTTCCTTCCTGCGAACGGTGTTGAAACCCAGCTAAGGACCAGTCCTGGCTGATGCAGAAAAAGGGAAGCAAAGAGCGAAGTCGACAGGGGCCAAGCTCCTAAACCGATGCTTACTCTTTTGTTAGGCCAAGTATTCCGAGTAGGATTCGTCACGGTGGTCGCCGCCAGCCACTAGTGCTCATCAGCCAACATCTGCTTACCCCGGCCCTTTGGCGACCAGTTCCGCGCCAGCCAACCACTTTGGCTGCAGAAGTGTATACTCCAATGTGGTCCACTAGGCCTCATAATCTTACTGTCTTGCGGGTACCGGTGCTTTATATACAGCGGAGGTACAGAGGTACCTCAACACTTCATTGTCATTCAGCTCCCTCCCGTCATCCCGTTTCATGTAAAGGCGCCCTGGGACTGGAGCTTCCGCATTTTGCAGGCAGAGTCGGGCCTTTGGCAGCTCTTATCTCGCATCAAAGGGGGGCAAGGCAGAAACAATCAAGGGTGTTGCGGGATGGCGGCTTCTGTGCCGGGGTGGGGAAGAAGATGTGATGCAGCCTGGCTTCATGTTTTCAAGTGAGTGCGTCTGGTGTGGGATGAAAAGACAAGGACAGGCAGAACGAGGGCCGCTTCAAGAAGGGCTGAGCCACAATAGAAATTGAAGAACTGGGAATGAAGATGGTGACGGTTTTATATCTTAGAGTTTATCCTCACCGAAACGAGGAACTGTATGGTGACTGGACAATGTTGATTGTTGAACTTGGATTTGAGTTTTGATCGACAACTCGGAGCGCCGATTACCTGGCTAGAGTCTGGGTTGCTGGTGCGATTCAACCGGGGATGACAGCCGGAACCCGGCGCCACTGCCGAAACAACCACGAATGCTACCACAAAAATAGCAGGCGGCAGTACCGGCGTAGGAGGGTCCGGGGTGTTCTTGTCTCGGACCGGGTTCTGCTCTTCCAGGCCACACCCGCTTGGAGGTGCGTTTCATGCTGCCCCCGGACTGCTGTCGACGGTTGGTCAACAAGGCACGAATCGGCCCGCGTGATTTTCAGATTCCAGTTCACTTGACCATTGTTGGGCACGCCATGGCTGTGCCAACCCGGGGTCAAGATTGCAACACCATCTTCGGCTCCTGCCCCCGTCCAGATGCCTATTCCGGATGACGACGCCACAGCTCTCGAGTGCATGAACGGTCGAGTTTAATTTAAATGCAAATACCTGGCCGGCCTTGTCGACCAGTCCCAAGACGAAAAGGTATAAGCCTCGGGGCTAAAGGCGCCGCAATCCCACCATGTCGTTGACATTAACCGGCAAATCGTACCGTCTGAAGCCCGGCACTGGAAAACCTGGGGAAGCTGTTTATTGTCTGCCGGCATCAATTCGGGTGCGGAGGGGAGGGTTGGACAAAGTCCATCTTGGTTTGATGGGGGCAGTCGGGCAGTCTCCTTCAAGGTTCTATTAGTATATGTAGTGCAGGGCCTCAGTCTCACAGACTCTTCTTTCTTTCCTTCAAGCTTCCTCCAGCCACCGACACTACACCCACACACAATGCATCTCCCGTCTCTCGGTTCAGTCGCCCTGCTTGCAGGTGGCGCTGCTGCTCACGGTGCCGTGACGAGCTATGTCATTGCCGGCCAGAACTACCCTGGGTGGGTCTTCTTCCCTTGAGGGGTTAGGTTTTGGGAAGAGATCCCTTAAGGCGGCTATTAATGACAAATACTTAGATACCAAGGATTCTCCCCGTCCAACTCGCCGAACGTCATCCAGCGCCAGTGGTCCGACTACAACCCCGTCACCAGCTGCAGCGACGCTAAGCTCCGCTGCAACGGCGGGACCTCGGCCACGCTGAGCGCCACGGCTGCGCCCGGCGATACCATCACCGCTATCTGGCAGCAGTGGACGCACAGCCAAGGGCCCGTCATCGTCTGGATGTACAAGTGCGCTGGCTCCTTCAGCTCCTGCGACGGCTCCGGTTCCGGCTGGTTCAAGATCGACGAGGGTGGCTTCCACGGCGACGGCACCAAGGTCTTCCTTGACACCGAGGTCCCGTCCGGCTGGGACATCGCCAAGCTCGTCGGCGGCAACAAGTCGTGGAGCAGCAAGGTCCCGCAGAACCTCGCCCCTGGCAACTACCTCGTCCGCCACGAGTTGATCGCCCTGCACCAGGCCAACAGCCCGCAGTTCTACCCCGAGTGCGCCCAGGTTGTCATCACTGGGTCCGGCTCAGCCCAGCCCGGGTCATCGTACAAGGCCGCCATCCCCGGCTACTGCAGCCAGAACGATGCCAACATCAGGGTGAGTGGTTCTTCCGAGGACGAGAACAGAGACCGAGGAGTTCACGTGCTGACTGTTACCCAGGTCCCCATCAACGACCACTCCATCCCGCAGACCTACAAGGTCCCCGGCCCGCCCGTCTGGACTGGCGCTTAAGCGTAGGAAAGCTAACGCCTAGTTACTTTCCGGCTTGGGAATAATGAATGGACGGAGCAAATGTGAGCTGCAGAATAGGATCTAGAGTGACGGACTCGAGGCTGTCCTTCAGGGAATCAGAGGGGTTCAGAGATTGCAACCACCAGACCAGACTGCAACCACATCCTCGCACCATAGCAGCTTTCATCACTCCACAAAGTTATACCGCGCCCATAACATTATCAATACATGAATCCCGCTCCCCAACGTCTGGGAAGCTCAAGTTAACCATTCATTCATGCACCACCGCCCCTCCTGAGTCCAAAGTCCAGACCTGCCATTGATCAATCCCAACCCCAGCCCAGACATGATTCCATTCAGTCCTCAGCCTTGAGCACCTTAAATACCCAGGTAAGGTAGGCAGGTTGGTACCTTTTCAATCCTCCGCCTTCGCCTTCCCCGCCCCCGCCAACTTCGCCACCGGCACGAACGCCGTGCGCTCGCCACTGCCCAACTTGACGGTAATACTCCTCAACCCAAACGTATCCGCCAAGTTCGCATAAGTCGCGGCACTGACCAGCCCCACCAACACGGTCCCCAGATCCGCATCGGCCGGCGCGTCCTCGTCCAGCCCCAGCACGCGGTGCACGGCGGCGGTCTTGACGCCCGGCCCCACCATGCGCTTGAGCTCGGTCGTGACGGCGGCGGGCGACTTGTCGAAGACCACCGGGTAGGTGCGGTCTTGGTTGGCGATGCCCGACCACTTGAGCCAGTGCTCTTGCATGCGCGCGTCTTTGGCTGCTTGCTCGAGGTGGATTTGTTGTTGCGCGCTGGGTTGTTGCTGCGCGCCGGTGGGGCCGGTTGGGCGTTGTTGGGGCTGCGAGCCGGTCGGTGCGACGCGCGAGGTTCCGGGGGCTCCTGTGGCGGACATGGTGGTGTTTGGGGGGAGTGGTTGTTGTTGTTGGTGTGATTGGTGTTTGGTTGTTTGTGGATGAGGATGGTGAGCGGCTGAGGAATGGGAGATTTTGAACGCGTACAACAAGGGTTGGACAGAAGCAAACTCTGGTGAAGCTGTGGTCTGGGTTTGGACAGAGACTGAGATTGATGCTTCCTTATACAGTGGTGCTGGGGGTGACACGCTCTACTGCCTACTTGCCTGGCAGGTAGCAATGTCTGGGAATTATCTGCCTGGGGTGGGTAGCTACCTTAGCTAACTTAAGCTAAGCCGTGGCCTGTAAGCATGGAGAGGTAGGTGGAGCGGGAGGTATGTTGGTTAAACTTGGTCTCAGGCCATGTTTGGTGTGAATCCTTCGCATCCAACGTCGACCATCGCTGCGGCGTAGCCACGCCCAACACTACGCACTACCTAAAAAGGTGAAACTGGGGCCGCTACATGCTATTGGAGCCGTTTCAGAGATCTGAGTAAGCGCGCTTAACCACGCTAGTCGGACATTTGCCTGCCCAGCCCAAGTTGTAGCAGGGTGGACGTGTTTCCTTTGATAGCCCTTTTGGCCCAAATCATGGCTTCCGGGGAAAGCCGCTCGTTGTCTACCCGCGTGGCGGTAATTCGGACTCGGAAGATAATATCGGCCTCTAATGCCGCTTACGTTGGTCGTTGTGTGTTGTGGCCCGGTCCTTGGTCTACTCTATCTTAGCGCTTGGTCGGTTTACATGTATGCTTTAGGAGACATCAACGAGTTTCGCCGGAAGCCCACCCGCGGCCCAATCTTCTAGTCTGTACATTACTCTATGATATGGAGCTTTTTTCATTACCCATCCGGGCCTCGGGAGTCGCCCAAGCTTGTTCCTGGTGGCCCACGGGGCTGCTACCGTTTCACTTTCTCCACTGGTTGCAAGTGCTCGGGATCAAAGTCTGACGAGATATTTTATTTGGCAGGTTCGGGCGAACCCGAGCTCGAAAAAGTCGACTAGGGCATCCATATCCTGGTATGGGGTTTCTGGATATGTGACCACATTTGTTCTGCCATGGCCCACAACCCCGGCTTGCCAATGGTCGGCCCAGATTTGTGCTTGACGGATAGTTCCCTCGCTCGCCATCATCGACAGGCTTCGTGCTTGCTGACCTAGTCCAAGCTACGGTCGCGACGGTGCCCTCGGCACCCCAGACCCGTAGTGTTGGCCCATTCTGCCGTGGGCCGGGTCGCATACCTACCTTATTCATGTTGCTAGACCGAGGTCACTATTATAAAGATGGTCCGTTGCACAAGAGGGTAGCCGCCGGACCTGACATCTAGAACTCGCTCCTTTTTTCAACACTGGCTGTTGTGGAAAGGTTTGCTGGTCACAACTTACCATTCCAAGAACCAGACAAAGTTATAAATACTCATTTGACCCCGGACATTTACTATCTACTCATCGCGGTCGGTTTCCGTTCGATCTTAGCCTCTCCCCCTTGCCGACTTGATACCTACCTAGATATCTAGGTACCTACCAGAACCATGAGTACCAGTGGCACTAGGGCAAAGAAGACACCCCCGGGTACCGGGCCGTTGCCTCTCTTTGGTGTCGAGATTGAAATCTACGTCAAACTTCACAAAGATCTCGAAGAGAAAATCAGGGAAAGGAGATACAGGGATCCCAACACAATGCCACTTTACTGGCTCGAATGGGACTTTGACCTTCAGAATGGACAGGGCAACCTGGAGAGGAAGGCCAAACAGCGGGAGTGTGTTGGCAAGGCCGTCCGGGAGATTATTGATGTCACCCTAGGGACCGGCCATGGTTGGACGTGCGAGTCTGACGCCAGTTTGAAGGAATGGGCCCTCACTGAGCCCCCTGACGTACGCAAATGGTGTATGTATTGTCCCACGTTACCTCCAATCGTCCGTGCGGATACGTGTACTCGGAGGAGAGAGCTCAGATGCGCTAACCACGGGAAACTACAGGGGGTATTGAGATCATCTCGCCGCCCATGTCGGTAACAAAGCATTGGCAGGAGGAGATAGAGCTCATCTTTCAGGCTGTCGGTAGGCACTTCGACTTCTGGACGAACGAATGCTGCGCCTGCCACGTCCACGTATCGCCCGGTCCCACGAAAAAGCACAAATACACAACAACCCAACTCGTCAGGATGGCGAAGGGAGCCTTCTTCTGGGAAGAGGCGTTCAAAGAACTTCTACCGCCCGAGCGTCGGAACAACAGGTATGCGCTCGCCAACCACACTCTCTTCGCTACTTCGGAGACCGCGAGCGTCCCAACCAAGGGATGGGGGCCGGTATTTTCCAGGATCCAGTCGGTAGCGTTACTCAGCCAAGAGGCCTTTATCCAGGAGATGAAGGGAGGCACAGAGGAGACCCGGTACGTATCAACCAGCTTCCACCCCTTCACCAGGCTGGGCACGGTGGAACTCCGACGGCAAGCCGGCGTTGCAAGCGCCATGACGGCCATCCACCGCATCCTACTCGCCCTCACCCTGCACGTCAGCGCCTTCCGGTACGACTTCGACGGCGCCAAAAACCGCAAGACCAAACCCGACGCCGCCGAGCTGATCCGCGAACTGGCCGGCTGCATCAAGAAACTCCCCGGCGAGACCTGCCACGGCAGCCGCTTCATCAACTTCCTCTACTGGTGCCAAGAATCCTACGCCGGCAACAAATGCTACACGGAAAAGCAGATCAACACGCGGGAGAAAGCCCTCCGCGAGGGCAAGACCCCCCCGAAGCAAGCCACCGGGCCGGCGCCGCCACCCATGAACGCGGCGCCGGCCGCGGGCCAACGCGCCTCTACATCAACGACGTCGCTGCCCTTGCGCACGACGACGACGGTGCGCACCTCGCAGCCGGGGGCCCCCGCGCGGAGCGGCGGGGGCCGGGGAGGGGGGGGCGGCAGCAACAACAACACCACCTCACGGACGTCCATCACGCGCGCGCCGACAATCGTGTCGCCGCCCCTGCCGTCCCGCCGTTCCGATGCGGGCCGCTCTGACGCGCCCCGCGCTGTGGTGGCGTCCGTGAGCGGGAACAGGACCGTGTACGAGATTCGCCAGCCGCCGGAGAGGTATTAGGGTAGGGATGTTGTACCTTGCGTGGCGTGGGGAGTCCATCAAAGATTCGTACATGCACGCAGCTGTTTGTTTGTTGGCTGTCTGATAGGTGCTGCAGATGTTGGTGTGACGAGACGGCGCAGTTTCACTTCGGGCTGTTACATGTAAGCAGTGAACAAACAACGACCGGAGGCGTGGCCTGGTGACATGGAGCCGACGGCGGGCTGTTGGGCCCCTCCCAGGCAAGCACATATCCTGTCATGTACTTACCGAGCATTACTTGTACATGCAGTGGTACCAAAATCCAGACTGTTACATCTCTTCCCCTGAAGCCCTAATGCACGGAAGTCATTGTTTGTGGTGACTTCGATTTCCTTTGGTTTTGACAAGATTTGAGGTTAATTCCAGGGGCAAAGTACATTTGCGAGGGACCGTTAGGGCTTGGATTTGGAGGGAATGTTGTTTTTCTGTTTGTGTCTCCGAAGCAAAGGTTATCGTACATGTGGTCTTACATGTAACCTTCGCAGACCGACGGCGACTATTAGTTACTAGCTCCAAGTGAGTATTATATAACTAACCGAACACGGAATTAAAGCAAACGCTCATCGAAGCAGCGGACTGCGTTTCAGCACCGTGACTGAACTTCCGAACCCCCAAACGCCCCTTTGTTCCACCAACCCATGCAAATTAATCGGTTCAATACCAAGATCATGTCGAGCTGGCCTCACTCTCCCCCCGCGTTGGCGAGCCGAGATTTCTTGCCAAGGGGCTTACCGGCCACCGGCCCGTCACACAAGGCCAGCATCCTCTTCCGGGTTTCCGGATCCCGAAAGTGGTTCCACCCTAGAACAATCTGCGTGTCACGGAGGATGTCGAGGCGGCCGAGCTCTACAAACCCTGTCTCACGAAACGTGTCTGCCGTCGAAGCACTCACGCTGGACGAAAGCGTTTGGATATCCCAGCCGTAGGTATTCGCCCGCAACATGCCCCATTTCAGAAGGCGGCGGCCGACGCAGTCATCCCAACGGGCTGTGCTGATAACAAGGGAGCGTAAAACTGCGGGTTATTAGTGGTGCAGTGGATGAAGGGCGGAAGAGAGGCACATACCCAGGTGCCGGCCATGGACATCACCGTATTTATCAAGGCAGTTCGGGAGAAATTCCTTCGACCAGCGTTTCCAGTCCTCCGGCTGACGGGTAGCGGCCTCGTTGAAAGACTGGAGTACATCTGACAAACTCACCGCCAACCCATTGGGCGGAACAACAAGCTCCTGTCTCGCATGCACAAGCCTCATTTCCTCCAGGATTGGCCGTAGTTCGCCGAGTGCAACACCCGGCCTTCCCATCAACCGGTAGGGGCTGTTCTCGCTCTGATCCGAATCGGAGAGGCTATCACTGGGGGTGGACGTCGCTACTATCAGGCGGCCCGGGTCTTGCCACTCCGCCCAGCCCAGTATCTCCTCTCTCGGCTGCGCTCCGTGGAGGCTAGTCAGATAGGCCGCGGGCTGCTTGAGGTATGTGGCGACTAAGAAATGGCGGCCCGGCGTCCGCCGGTTCTTTCGCATGTCGGCAAGCCTCCAGTCAGTCTCTGCAGCGAGCAGCCTCTCCGCGGCCGTGGCCTCGTCCTCGTATCCCATCTTCACGCTGCGGTATCGGTCGAAGTGGTCGATGTCCCGCTCGTGCTGGAAGATTTCGTTGGCCATGCGGGCCATCGCCGGGAAGTCGTACGACTGGGCGGGACGGACGCGGAGGCCTGGGAAACGCGGCGGCTTGCGGCCCAGTTGGGCTGCCATGACCGGGGTGGTTGCCGTCATGGCAGGCAGGCTGACGGAGTTGAGGGAATGGGAAGAGACAACAAACCAATGACTGGCTTGAGGGGTGGTGCGGTAATGAACGGTATTTGTGGGAGTGCCGAAGCTCAAGCTACCTGAAAAACGAGCGAATGTCGGTGGTGAGGTAAGGTACCGGCTAGATTTTTATCGGACCCAAGAGAGAGATGTGGCGGACTGGAACAGGTATGGAGCGGCAGAACAATAATTAGGGGAAATCGCGGCGGGCCACGAGGACCGTACCTGCTGCTGCTGATGCTGCGTAATAATCTCCAACGGGCAATGAATGCAAGTAGTGGCCGTTGGTGCCTGGCCATGATCCATGGTGAAATTCCAGCGGGCCTTGAAGAGTGGTTCCATCATCTTAACATTGGGAAGGCTTAACCTTTGGGATTCCATTTAATATTATTTCTGCATATACTGCCGCTGCCGGCTTAAATTTCCATCTCAATGCTCAAGGCTACCTGGCCATTTTGAATAAGCTTCTGAATCGTGTCTTAGGTAGCTTTCCAATTCAGTAGCCTCAGATGACGCTTGGTTAAGTTGAACCTTAGAGTGAGCAACACGCGGTGGACTCCAGCGCTGGAGGACACACACCCTCGTTCGGAGCCCAGAACACGGTAATAGCCCTTTACTGTTGATGGACTGACAAAACATTGCTGATCAACAATCCAAGATTTCCTGTTATTGCCTCTATCAACCATAAAACACGAGTTGTTACGCTTAAGATTTGATTTGATTTGCCCATTTTTGACGGCTCCTGTCGGAGACCCCGGAGGGAGCTCCCAGGGTCGACCCCAGGAAAGGTTGCCCGGGCTTTAGTAAGGTCCGATACCTTATACACGGATTTTAGTCTAGGTGCCTAGGGAGGTGCGCCCTCAATGGTGAGAGGCGGTGACACGACACTGCAGGGCAACAACACTCAACCACCCACACACAAAAGCCACAAGTCACAGAAAATTAAAACATCAGGTAGAAAATAAGAAAAATGTCAGCCCATCTGTAACCTGGAGCCCACGGTAAGGGCCCAGCTCCAGGTGGAAAGAATGTGCTTGTTGATCTCCGCGCTGCTCCTGGGGAAAGCGGATGCGCTACTTGCCCTGGTCAGCTCGCGGGGTGCTATCTAGAACTATCTGAGTTATTTGAAACAGAAAGTGTTAGCCCACCTACTCCCCTAAGCTCACGGCAAGAGTGGCCAGCTTAGGGGTGTCAAGGTGGACCGTTCTGTGTGATCTCCGCGCTGCTCCTGGGGGAAGCGGATATCGCTTTCCCTGGTTAGCTCGCGGGCGTGTTTTTTCATGGAATGTCATCCCCCGAGTTCCCTCGAACCGACGGCTTGCGTGAACAGCTTTGAGGAGGTCATGGTGGCTTGTTTCAATCTTTGCGTTGCTCGTGGGGAGTGTGGATGGTCACTGCCCTGGTCAGCTCGCGATGTGCTTTTGAAACTATTGAAATTGGTTGAAACGGAAATGTCAGACGCGGTTCTGGCCAGCTGCCGTGGGGAATGGGGCATTGGGAGCCGAGTGGTTGCGTGAGTGAAGGAGTTTGATCTTCGCTCTGGTGATTAGAGAAGATGGATTGAACTGCCATCTCCTCTGCTGTCAGGGCGGGAGTGTTTTCCCAGTCGCGATAGCAATCGATGACAGCGAGCCGATGGTTGAGAATCTAGCGATGGGTTTCCAAGCACCACTCGTTGCCTCGCTCGCAACTGCGACTGAGAGAACGGGGAGAGGATGAGGAAACGGGAAGATGAAGCGAAAAGTAAGAGGGGAATGAGGAAGAGGAAGAGGAGGAAGACGAGGAGGAAGACGAGGAGGAAGACGAGGAGGAAGACGAGGAGGAAGACGAGGAGGAAGACGAGAACGAGGGAGGGGAGATGAAGTAAAAGATAAAGAAAAGGCAGAGGAAGAAGGGGAAGAGGAGGATGGAACAGAGGGCAAAAGAGAGGAAGAAAATGGTTGAAATGTCCCTCCCTGTGGAACCGACCATCCATGAAGGAACAAGTCTCTAGAAATGGCCGGGAGGTCAGAAGTGGCTTCACTCTGCAGGTCAAGAGACAAAGACCTGGAAGGCCAGGCTTGCACTCTTTGCTGCTTGAGAAAAGAAAGGAAATGGAAGAGGAAGAGGGAGGGGAAGAGAATGATTTATAGGCAGCCAGACCCGGCCTGTGCACACCTGCAATCTGCGTAGACCCGCTTCTGAGAATTTTTGAAGATTGCTTAGTTGTGTAGCTTTGATTAGTCGTGATGCTTCACACTGGGAGGCACTGTGGTGAGGGTGGTGGTGGTGGTGGTGGTGTGCCGGGGGTGTGAGTGCTGATTCTGGGACCCGCTCTGCTCAGTGGGAAACATCTCACAGGTTTGTTATGTTTCCCCCAAACAACTAAGCCTCATTTTAAGAGTGGTACTAAAAGTGGGTGACTTGAAATATGCAAACCTCAAACCAGCTCAAACAAACTGAGGAGACAGACAAGGTACAACGGTAAGCGACGCTACCTCGTCATCCAGCACTTCCAGGGACCGACCCCCATGGTGATTGGGATGGAAACAGCTTACACAGGGAAACAGATACTTAAGTTTCCCAAAAGGCCAGCAACCAAACTCAAAACATTCAGGAAAGGTTCGCAACACCCAACATTCATGTTACGACAAGGGGAGGGAAGAAGACAACACAAAGGAGCACACGACAAGGGCAACCAAGCTATTACACCACTTTCAGAGACTAAATAAATTTCGACATCCGACATCTCGAAGAGAAGATCGGCGGCAGAAATACATACAAAGACATTTAGATTCAAAGGTATCGTTTCCCTCTTCATTGATATTCCATGTTTAGTTGGAAGAAACCCCATGTCCTTGCTGTGACACACGACATGAGCTTATGACTAGAAGCTGACACTCCATTTTCCTGTCCGACAGAACAACGGCAATCGACCATCCAAAAGCAAGTCACCGCTCAAGGGAAGAAGAAGCGAGGCAACCATGGCAGTTCCTCCCCAGAGCAACGACTCGCCCGGCATTGAGTTAGTAGCGTATCCAAAGAATCGGCGGCAAAGACGGGACTTGGGCAGCCCTGGGGCAGCAAAGGACGCCGCGAAACATGATCAATACCAGGCGACGAACAAGAGCGGCGCCAACATGAAGCCGTCAAGTCTCCCGAGCGACAACTCAAAGCTGGGCCCCCGCGAGCCGCCGTATGTCCCCGAAGGGGATATCGAGAAACGAAAGGAAACGAAGAGCGAAGACGACACCGACGCTGACCTCGGCTGGGAGTTGGTGGAAAACCCGAGCGACGTTTGGGCAAAGGAGAACGAGGCAATGAACAAGCTTATCGACGACCTCGACGATATGTTTCTGCCCTCCGTGGCCGGGAAGAACAAACGTCAGGCAGCAGGAGTTGGCCGCCCCAGCACAGGCGGGTTGCAATTCTCTCGGAGGGTGCCCGTCGACGCCAAAGGGCCAAGGGCGGTCAAGTGAATACAATCCCAGGTTAAACTTGTCCTCGGTCTCAAGAACTCGTGGTGACTATTACGACAGCTGTTTACTACCATGGCAGCAGGACGCTTGCCGCATTGCTATTTTGATAATACCGTTTCCATGACCTGCCTCTAATACCTTTTGCCCACCCGCCAATCCTGAAAACCCACCCCGAACCCAGCCCCAGAGACCCAGTACCTTGTGCCAGACCCGATACCCCAACCACCCCGGAGATAGAAAGTATCGTGAAATCCATTCAGCCCAGACCCCAGACTCCGTCCCAATTTTGTTATAAGGTTACCGGCTCGCTCACAGGCAGCGAGTGACCAGTTCCGCCCGACCCCGTCGAGCACGCCCCAGGTTACCTGCATGTGCTTGAAAGCACCAAAACTTGATAGAGATCAAGAATCTCTCAAACACGCACCCATGTCCCCGTTCTTACCATACCGGCTTCCAACCCTCAGACTGTCACGACGATAGTCTCCGAAACCTTCTTCGTCGCTGGCCCCGTGTAGAAGTGCCGACCATGGGTGTACCAGAAGCCGCCCGAGAAGAGCAGGACCGACACAAACACAACGCTGGCGTAGTTCATCTGTCCCCAATGTCAGCAACAGCAACCGCCGAACCCCCTCCCCCAAGGAACCACTCACATTCTCGCTCGTCACCGGCATGTTCGTCGGCAAGAAGAACACGACCGACATAAACACATTCCACACCACGGCCACCAAATTCACCACAAACCCCCACCGCCCCAGATGCCACGGCCCCCTCTCAAACCGCCCATACACCATCTTACAAACAATCGGCAACATATACGACAGATTCAACGCCACCGTGCACACATTAAAAACCGCACTAATCGCCGTATGGCTGACCAGCCCCAACAAATTCACCGCGACCCCCAGCCCCGCATACAACCACACCGCCGCCACGGGCGTCTGCGAGCGCGGCGAGATCCGCCGCCACACCCGCGACAGCGGCACGAGGTCGTCGCGCGCAAAAGCATAAATCGTGCGGCTGCCCCCCTGCAGGCCGGGGATCGCGACCAGGTTCATGACCGCGAAGCCCGCGAGCGTGAAGAAGACGGCGGGGGCGCGCCCCAAAGCGTTGTAGAAGAGCTGCGCTACGGGCTGGCCGCTGGGGGAGCTGATCAGGGAGAGCGGGTCGCCCATGCAGATGACTAGGATCAGGTTGAAGGCGAGCCCGATGATGTAGGTGACGGTGGAGGCGTGCGCGATGGCGCGGGGGATGACGCGGGCGGGGTCTTTGGCTTCTTCGGCGATTCTGTGGGGGTGTTAGATGGTTTGGTTGAAGGGGATCCAGTCAGGGGCAGGCTGGTGGTGGTGGTGGCTTACCGGGCGGTGCTATCGGCGTTGGTCATGGTCCAGGCCGGGGAGAGACAGCCGAAGAGCATGGCAAAGGCCGGCGGGGTCCAGCCGGAGGTGGGCTGGAAGTCAGTGAAGGCGTACGCGATGCTGTGCTTGTCCTTGGTCTGGACCAGCAGGCAGACGGCGGCGCCGACCAGGATGCTCATGTGGAACACGACGTAGCCGCTCGTCAGCCGCGTCAGCCAGCGCGTGGGCAGGCTGTTGATGGCGGCGTGGAGGACGGAGAGCAGGACCATGACGGCAAAGACGTGCCCGGTGCTGGGGACGTAGGAGAAGTCCGTCGCGATCGACACGGCGGCCAGCAGCATCTGGCTTGATGCGTACTCCGTGCTGGCAGTCCCTGCAATCACACCAGCGAGGGTGATATAGCCTGCAAAGGTATGTGTCAGCCACCGCTAAACAGTAGTATCCCCAGCTTCTCGAGATTAACATACCTGACATCCAACACAGCAGCGGGCCCTGGCTCTCAGGGGCTACATGCTTCAACACCGAGTACATGGCCCCGGCACTGGGGTAGGCCGACGAGAGCTCAGCAAGGCTGATGGCCAGCGCCAACGCACCGGCACCGCCAATGATCCAGCTCCACATGATGGCGCCGGCACCACCGGCTTGGAGCCCGTAGATCCATGTGGACATGAGCGAGCTGTAGATGCCACAGATGCTCATGGCGAAGCTGAAGCTGGACCATGTCGAGAACTCGCGCTTGAAGACCTTGTAAGCGTCCGTCAGCATCGCCCGACACTCGAAAGGGTGGACGTGAGAAGCGCACTGGCTTGTATCCCATGGCTTCTAGGGTCTTGTCCGCATCGTCCAGCGTCACATTGCCGCTCGAGGGGCAGGTGGGCGTGGTATGGCCGCTGGAGGTCCCTAGAGATGTTATCTGGATGGCGAGCTCTTTCTTCTCTTTCTCGGCGGACGCCATTGTTCTTCACTGGTGCTTGGGGAGAAATGGTGGTGGTCCCCGATGGTGATGAACTCTAGGTATGCACTTGTGGTACGTTCCAAGGCGGTTCTTTGTATTTGGGAGCGCCCATCCCGGTCTCACCGCCGCCCTCCCCAAGGGGGAGCGAGGAATGTCCGCGCGAGCCGCTGGGCTCTTCGGCACCGCATCGTGTTTGTCAAGCCTGGCCACCGAAAACTGCTACTTGTCGGTCTGCCGGCGAGACCGTCGACCATCGACAGGGTCGGCGCCGCCCGGAATTGCCATCTTCGTCAAGTGCCGCCGTGCATGGCTGCAGTAGTTCTCCCAAGAGCCATCGTCCTTCCTCATGGAGCATATGACGTGTTCACCATCTCATGCATCAGAGATGAGAAAGTACCGTCCATCCTGCGCGGTCTAGACGCGCAATGTGTCATTCCCCAACGATCCACAGACAGAGGTCACGGTGGTACCGTCCATCTGGTGGAGAGGGAACATCCGTTATCGGAGATCAGGGGTGTGATAACCCTGCGGCGAGCGCGTCCCCTCGGGGAGTCCATGGCTGGCACACGTGCGGAGGAAGATTACTTTGGCGGCAATCCGATTGCTCCCACCTCGGGTGAAACACGAGAAATCCGGAAGTGAGGAGACGTTTTCCCTCGGGACCCTCGCCGTCTGGACCGGTCTGTCGGATCCTGACCGCATTTTTGACATTCCAGAACCCTCAGTCAGGCACCAACTCGGGATTCGGGCTGGGCGCACAGAGATAAGCCTGGACCTCGGCGGCATCATCTGCGGCCGAGGTGTAGCACATTGCACGCTGCCCAGTGGCGTTCACAACATGTCCCGGTAGAGGCGGTCGGACAAGCAAGATGCCAAGGTTCAGGATTCAGGTCCTCGTTACCAAGAGAGTGGGAGGAGAGGTCGGTGAGACATCAGATACGGGGACGAGACGAGAGCACCGTGGTGGGACCGTGGGCGGGAGATATCAAGCCGGTATGCCCTCGAGAATTCGAAAAAAAATCAGTGTGAGGTTGAAACTACCTTACCATCCGCGGAAGGTCAGCCGACTCCGCCAGGGACGAACGGGGCGGTTGTTGGTCCCCTGATCTCTTCAGCGAATCACCGAACAGTAAATGGTTGGCATCTGACCCCATCGAGATCGACCGGTCTAGGCCTGCATCATGGAACGTGCCCAGACGGCCCTTTTCAAACAAGTGTTTGTCGCCATCCGTCGCGACTGGCCGTTCTCGGGAGGCTAAGTCGGGAGAGCTCCCCGCTCTGCACCCCAGGCCCGATCGGCATCTCAGCTGGTGACAAGGGGGGAAGAAAATTATGATGTCCTCGTGATAGACGTCTCGCCGTCGTCATCTTTCGCCATATTTTCCCAGGAATTGGTCATATCCGGCAGAAAAGTCCGAAGGTCATGTCGTGGTTGGCCCTCTCGGAGCTCCCATCGTGGGTGATGGATGTTTGATGCCCACCTGCAAAAGGCATCCCGTTTGTAGCCGTTGTCTGGCCCGGCCTCAAGACGAGACCGCTAGCCTACTTGGAAGGTGTCTAGACCCTTGGCACTGATGAAAAGTTGTGTTCGCCTCCCTTGCTTCCGTACCCAACTTGGACAGCATCATGGATCTATAAAAGAACCGGGTGTCTGTCCCTGAGGGTTTGGGGTTGTCGTAAGAAGCAGTGCACTTGTTTGGACGACGTAACCGCCTGCTACACGTTTCATGGCGGGTGGACAGGGGGGCAGACTAGGGACGAGTGTATACCATGAAGACGTTTGGGATATCCAGCGCCGGGACCAACAAGCGCCCCCTCCTTTTCGGCGGTATCACGGCATCTTCAAGGAGTCTGTGGTTGCACCATGCACAAGATTCTGCACTTGTCCACCAACACATCTTGAGTCTGTTGTGTTACCTTGGCATTCTGGTCGTGCTTTTGTTGATGGGGGTTACAAGTATGAGTTGCCATGGCGGGGATGCGAAGGTCTCAGGGTGCTTTGATAAGATGTCGTTCTCCCAGGTTGATCTTGGGCATATCTCCGTGCATTCCGATGGTTGGGTGATCGGCATGGGAATGAAACCCTCCGAAAATGTGGGGAACTGGAAGGTGGTTGGCAGGGGGAGGGAATGATGACAAGCCTGCTCTTATATCACCAGGTGGGTGTGGGGGGACGTTTTGTTGGCATGCATCATGATTCATGGCACGTTGGAACCCTGAGTGTTCCGACAGCGTCTGATTATTTCCGTGCCAAAGTGATGAGGACTATCCGAGAGTCTCTTGAGACAACATATCAAGAGTCAAGTGTGAAACCAGGACGTGATTATAGAGAACCAGATAGGTCAGGTACTCATCAGCAAAGTAACCCGAGCCCCGCGTATTCAAACCAAGTATAAATCAACAAACCCGCCAACAACAAGAGCCCTCCCTGTTATTATTACACACATCACCTCCCAGGGCCAGCCCAACCCATTCCCAAAACCATGGCCTTCCTCACAGTGCTCACTTCCTAACCCCCGACCCCGCCCCCGTCTTCCACTCCCCCGCATCTTTCACCCCCTGCGCCACGTTCGCCACGCCGCCCTCGACGCCCGAGCCGATGTTGGCGATGCCGTCGCCGAGCGGCCTGCCGACGCCGCCCGTGGCTCCGTTGACCGTCTCGCCGACCCCGCGCGAGGCCGCGCCCAGCACCCCGCCCACCGTGTTGGCCAGGCCGCCGACCGTGTTGCCGAGCGTGGAGGTCACGGTCTTGCCGGCGCCGGTGAGGCCGGTGTTGGTGTTGGTTTTGTTGTTGGTGGTGTTCATTTTGGGCGGGGGATGGGGGGTTTGTGGGTTTGTAAAGGGGTCTTTTTTGATGGGTAGATTGTTTTGTCGTCTGGTGTAAGTGACTGAGTAGCACTTGAGATGAACGGGGTTTGATTTGGGTCGAACGGTTGCTTCCTAAGGGTTCGTGATGGCGGCTTATATCTCCCGAGCCCCCTGCTTCTCCGGCCAAGCTTGCGGGATGCGACCCCTGTTTGGAGGTTGTCAGCTGTCCTGCACTACGTCATATCCTCGGTTCTCGCCCCTTGTTCCCTGGGAGGACCCTGACTTGCTGCGCTACACAGCATGCAGGCTCGGGACGACATCGAATCACGTCGCAGAAGAGGACGATTCTGGCTGGGAGACATCAATGCATAGTGCATTTCGTGGGGTGACGTCAAGAGATGGTGGGCTTGGTTCTGAATAGAAGGGACCACGCACTGAGCCCATTGGGCAGGGTAAGGAAAATACCTAATTAACGGTTTGTGGTGCTGTCGTGCCTTGAGTTTCTGCTTCTAACCCCTGGGAAACGACTAGGGAGTGGCTGATTCCGAGATGCTCTGCGTCCCTAATCGCGATGTTCCAATCCCATAGTGCATCGAGAAGAGAAGAACTTATGACAGCGGTGAGTGCTGGCAAGGTGGAAAGTTTGAAATTGGGATTGAAACCAGTTGATGCTTCACTGGTCTTCCGGCGGCGCCGATTCCGTCCTGTTCTTGGTGCACCAGTAAACCCTCGACTCAAGAGCGTTCCGAGTCCGGCCGCGGAACTGCGGGATTTCCTGCTGATTTTAGGCGACGAGGTTAACCAAACCAAAATCGAACAAATGGATTGACGCGAAAGCAGGCGAACAGCCAGGGGGTCACTACTTACCATCATCTTGGGGTAAGTCCAGATTTTCTTACCGTTCGTATCCTTTTCGGCGTGAAGGTCCAAGAGGAGTTGGGTTTCCTGTTCGGACCAACTTCTTCTGCGCTTCAAGTTCGGGCGCGAGTTCGATGGGCCGGCTTGGTTACCAATGTTACAAGGGCTGGAATTCCAGGGCTTGAACAATCAGCTGCCGGGGGAACCGGCAAAACCAAATGTATTAATAAGAATAATCTTCAATGGCCTCGAGAAGTCCATGAAGAGAGAAAGAGAAGTTCTGGAGCTATCTGACATTCTGAGTCTTTTTATACATGAAGGGTTTCGATGAGAAGGTGAGGAAGGACGTCTGACGAGGACGCCAATGAAATTAGTGAGACTGACCGATGAGTGGCCATTGATTTCTGAAAACGATTGGTGATGGTTGCGTCCACGTGGTGATCCGTGTGACAATCAGCGTCGGGCTGGTCGTCGCCGAGGGATTGCTCCTCCCCGAGATCGAGATAATCACGGTCTGCTTCTTCCGCGGCGAGGGCCGGGCTACCGCCATACACATGGTTGGCGGTGTGCTCTTCTTGAGCGGCGGGGTTTGGGTGGTCGTCCTCGCCGAACTCGATGGCGATAACAGTTACCCTCGCGCACTTCATCTGGAAGTCGAGAAGGTTCTTTCCCAGGAAATCGGTGTCTTCTGGCGACCAGGGGCTTTGGAAGGGCCAGGGGATCAACCCACCATCTTGGGCGAGGAAACCCCGACGAGCATGGTATAAAAAGAACTTGAGCTCGGGGACCTGCTGTGCTAGTGGCACCACCTCCGCCGCGCGACGCCCGTTGGTGCAACTGCACGAAGAGTTCAGCTTGGCCGCCTTCGCGTCACAAAGTTTGGTAAACAATAGCAAGGGGTTTGGGTACCCAAAGCGCCTGCACCCTTCCAGGATTATGATGTTCAAGCACATCGTGATGTTTTGCAGTGATGACAAGAGGGGTTGACGAGAGCGACAAAGGTTGGAGAGCGACGCGGCCTAGACGAGGGCGACGGGGTTTAGACGAGGTCGACGGGGTTCGGGACCAAAAGAAAAATATGGCGGTGGTAGTGTGAGGAGAAACCACCAAACAGCAGGGCCAAGATTGCGTTGAGCGCAAAGAAAAGTGAGGGGTTCTTGGTCGAGATTATGTTTGTGAGGAGTGGTGGGTGGGTGACTTTGTGTGAGCGAGAAGTGCGAAAAAAGAGAAGGGTTTAAAGCGCAACTTGTGAATCTGCAGTACCTACTCGGTTGATAAAGCTGAGCCCCTCCTGGCCCTCAGGTCGAGGATGTTCAGATGGAAGGTCCAGGGCATAACTGAAGCTATCCCCGCCCAATCACTGCAAAAAGGATAACTATGTGGTAGCTGTATTTCTCTATTCCAAAAAAGGTTGGTCATGCTATGATTGGGCCTCGCGCCATTTGCGCCCTCCTTTCGTTAAACAGGACCATCTCAGCTTGGCTCCTTGCCAACTGAGCGTCCTTATGACTTTTTCTCATAGAATGATAGATGTGTATCATTCCAGCGGCGGCGAGGACGATGAAAGCTGCGTGGATGATGCTGTGATAGAGTCAGTGGAAACCCCCCTTTCTCCATCCCCCACTCGGCTTCTGTAAGCTAACTCACCAAAAGACGATCATAAAGATCATGGCATTTGTCATGTCCTTGGCCCAATGGGCCCGTCGTTCTCCCGACCCTTCGTCGACGGTGCCAAGAATCAGGAAGCAGAAGATGCCTACTCCTATCAAAGCAATGTCGAAACATACAGCAACTGTGTTGATGGCTCGTTTGCGGTTGAGAAAGAGCAGCGAGCCGATTTCGTACACATCCGCTAGAATCCCAAACGCGAGCTGTGAATGTCGGTCAGCGCTTTGATGCCTGACTGTTGGGATTTGACCGGGCATACCGGGAAGAAAGACGGCATGAGGACATCTACCCTTGTCGTCGGCTCCGACCTCCAATAGTTGTACAGCCACGAGACGAAGGCAAGCGCACCGAGCTCCAACAACACCGACAAAGATCGCCCAACAACCTGCATCCAGTTGTACGCAACCCCGAGCCGTCCGATTGCCCGAACGCGAGGGGCACATGTCCTCCTCTCGACATCTTGGTCTGTGGCAGGGGCCGCGGCCCTGCCGGCCCAGGCGAGGGCGTCCGGCGCGTTGTTTGTTGGTTCCTGCGCCATATATCACACGCTGATTCTCAAGTCGTTTTGCTGAGACCTGGAGGGAAAAGTGAGGGATGTTCGAAAGGCCGAGAGAAATTGACATCGACACCCAAGGGCACGCTCCGTCTGTCGACGCGCAGCAGGCTGAAGCTGGACGAGGACCAGACGTCGTCGAGGTTGTGGGGGGCTCTCCGGGGCATATTTTCAGGCAACCAACCGCAGGGAGTGCACCTGCGGCACGGCACTAACCGCTTCAAGGATATCACTCGCAGTTTGCTGCATCCTGCTGCATGGTGGACAGCTGCAGGGTGGCTGGATTTCGGTTAGGGATGCGTTCTGTCTTGGCTCCGCCACAATCGATGCATCTCCGGCTGGTTGAACCAAAAAGCGCGTCTCCCTTCACTTGGCTCTGGTGCAACGGCCCATAGGAATATGAAGGATCTGGGTTTCTTGGACATCCTCAAGCTTAACTTCCTGCGAAATCCCTCCCCTGGTAGAACGACTGAAGTAGTCCTTACTCCTAACATTTCGTGGCACACCGCCGGCCGCTTTCAGCCCATCATGACGGTAAACAGTGGCCAGCCAACTGGCCCCGCCGCCCGGGGCAGTGAAAATAGCGGTTTGACTAATATTGAGCACGGAACCAGTTCCTGGCCGGTACTCGAAGCGGCAACCTCTTACGAATGGGGTTGGATGTGATAGCTCTGCCAACCAAAACCGTAAATGAAAGGTTTGCAGGGGGCTGGCTCTCTCAGTCGAAGCACTGCCGTGCTACCCGAAATGAGTTCTCTGCTGGCTGACCGTTATACGCGCAATTGCGTCGCTGGGAAGAGAACGCTGGAGTCTGGCCCCCAACTTCAACGATCGCATGTTTTCAGAACTACTTGGCTTCAGAGGCCGGTTTGGAGACCGGTCTGAGTTAACTAGAGATTTGAGAGGTCTTATAACAGGGGTCAATGGCGAGAAAATGAAGAACAGGGCTGAGGGGATGGAGTGCGGGTTGGATTAGAACGGGATAACACGGGGTAACTCGGAAAACTACAACAGACATCTCATTGCTCATTGCACGCTGGCAAGTCCCTCGCCCTCTTAGTTTCATTAAGTGGCAAACAAGATATCAGAAAGCCATAAGATCTTGGAAACTACAGCTTACCGTCGCCAGGCCATTCATGGGCTGCCACCTTGTGGAAAGTCAAAAGAGCGGATCTTAAAACGAGTGTGAGCCTCGAGGTGTCTACCAAAAAGGTCTGGAGTTGGTTGCCTTATTATTGAGTACTCTGTTAGGTCTCAAAATCTCAGTCCGGGTAATGAATTTCCCAACTGCAGGTTAGAATTACCACAAACCCGAGTTTGGCTTCTTTCCTCCTCTTTCCCTTCTCACCGGTCCATTCCTCAACACCACGGTTTAAGTCTGTTCCCCCATCGACCCGACCCCGAATTTCAACAACCGAAACTCAACTTCAAGTCATCCCACCAAATCCAACAACCCAACTAAACCCTCACTCACTAAAAAAAGCCAAACCCAACCCAACAGACCCCCAATTCCAAAATGAACGACCCCGACACCCTCCCCCCCATCGACCTCCCCTCCCCTCCTACCACCATCCTCACCTTGACCAAATTCCACGCCACCCTCGCCACCCTCCTCCTCGCCACCACCACCACCGCCGACCGCCACGTCGCGCTGGTCAGCGCCCTCGCCTACGTCCACTTCTGGAGCGCCACCCTCGGCTTCGCCTGGTGGTATGCCGCCCACTCGCCGTGTCTATTCGCCTCCGTCCGCGCCCGCGGCTGCCTACGCGCCGGCTAGAGGCCCGTGTTTCATGTCCTGTGTTTGGGGCTGGTCGGGGCGTTGGTCGGCGATATGGTGCTGGTGGGGTTGCGGGTTGTGGAGGAGGGGGTGGTGGGTGGTGTGGAGGTTGGTGGTGTTGGGGGGGAGAAGGGGGGTAGGGGTGGTGGTGGTACTGGCAATGGCTATGGCTGGGTTTGGGGCTTGGATCAGTTGGTGGGAGTGGGTAAGTCGGTTCCTGTTGTTTGTGAGAGTGTGTGTGTGTTTGAAGTGCTGACTTGTTTGGCTGGCAGCGGCCATGGTTGTGGTTTCTGGGCCGCTCGGGCTTCTGGTCATCATCCTCTGCCCGGGTATAGGCTGGTATCTGCGCCGTGCCACCAGGGTTCTCAAGTGGGTATTTCCGTATACCGCCTCTGCTCTTTGGTTCATTCTGAAGTGGCTGCTCCAGGAGTCTACGGGTGGTGTTGGTGTGGTTCTTCTGGGCGGTCAGGGCTAGCTTTCCCGAGGTTTTCTGAGGGGACGGAGTGAACGGAGGAGTCTCGAGTATTACAACAGAGTCGTGGAGACTGGAGGAAAAGGCCAGAGGGGATTTCAGTGTCAGGTTGGAGGAAGAATCTCCCCCGTGGGGGCTTGTCTCCCGGCTTGAGCCACGACACCCAATTTGTTCCTCGCATTCTATAACTCGAATGTACCAATGCTTTGATGTCCATGTCCTTTCTCAACCTCGTAGACCAGCTGCCCTGGAAGTTAGGAGTACCACCGTAGCAACCTCCCTCCATTGCGTCTGTGGTACCTTCAAAATGCTGGACAAAGACACCCTAACCGCCAAAAGAAACCCGATGTTGTTATTCCTGGAGTGGATGTGAACGCCACGACCACATTGTGGTCAATGTGGTCTATACATGTTGAGCTGCTCTCATGTCCAGTTCACAGTCAACCCAAACCCCCTTTATCCTTCGTGCACGTACCAAGTGGTGATCTGATACTTACCCCTGAGTTCATGTCCACTAACTTTTTGAACTGCAGCAATCTCTTGGGTTATGGGCGGTCATTCTTTTCTTTGTGATTATTAAAAACCTTTTCATTTGAATAAACAATGATGTTTGTCTCTTACGACTTGAGTGTTACTGTCGGGCTCTACTTCTCGCATGTGTCCCCCCTTTCTAAAGTAGGATGTACCGTATCACTCCAGTCTATCTTTTCTTCCCGGATGTCCCATGATTGGAATGTGCAACAGTTACTTCGTCTCTTGAAAGGAGGTGATTGTAACAGCTCTTGTTTGTAGTTTTGCAGCAAATCGGCAATGCCTGTGTTGGAATGCACAACTTGCCTTAATGCAACGTGCGTCCATCAACGATATTGTTTTCTGTATCTTGTCCGGCTTCTTCACAGCCTTTGTAATATTCACATCACTCAAGGCCTTTTCGTGTTTGAAGGTTCTGTGGAAGCTGTAAACACTGTTAGGGCACAAGCGGGTCCCCGGCCCGGGCAAGAGAGGCCCCCGTAGTCACCATGTATGTTGTCTGTGGCATTGTGGGCGACTCACCACCCCCAGGCACATGAAAGGACCCAGGAGGGGCACTGCACAAGAGGCGGCCAATAGGTTGTCTCGCATTCCATCTTCTTTACCCCTCGCCTTCAAGTGAAGTGCCTGTTATGTGCAGTGTTTATTTTGGTAGGGAACATTCCCGGAACTAGCTGCAGTACTGAGCTTTCTTTGACCGAGCGAGCCCTTGCCTTCCTCCTCTTTCCTCCTCCTTTGGGGCGGTGTTCCCCCAGCTCCCCTACACCCAAAACACTGGCCGAGCGAACCCCGGCCGTCCGATCGCAACCAAGCTGGTCCAAGGTCGAGTCCCCGGTGATGTAGACGACTTTGGTGAGTAAAACAATATCCATCCTTCCAACCTCTTCCTCTCGGCATTGAGGTAGTTTGCCTTTTGAGGCCCTGTCCTTCAATCTAGTTACGGCAGCCTGACTTGAAGAATTCGAAAGCCAATTTACCAGAAATCAAGGAAAGATTCAACCGAAGAGCGCGACCAGGACGATCCTGTGGTAGACAAACTTCAAGGAACCTGTTGCCCCCCAGGCAATGGATAGGTATGAGAACTCCTTCGCCGACGACACTTGCCTCTGCAAGGGGTTTGCTAACAGTTATGGTTGCTTAATAGCAGATTTAAGAACGACCCTATATTGTCTCGACTTCCTCCCGAATAAGCTCAAGAGATA